TCACACACCAATAAGTCCAATTGAGTTAAAATATGAAGGTGAAAAAAACAAGAAGGGGGAATTGAATTGTGTTGGCTTTTTCTCAAACTTTTTGAACTTTTGCTTTTGATTGATCTAGATCAGAGTCTGAATCTTTAATTTAGAGTTGGAATCAGAGTCACTCAGAGTCTGAACTCTTGTATTTCTTTATTAGATTCTGACATAGAATCTGACTCAGATGTACACAAATGATAGTAGCGAAATATAATTTAGAAGCAAGTAAAGTAAAAGCACAAGAGACACAAGCAATTATCCTGGTTTCTCTCACAACCTGAGAGTAGTTCAGTCCCCTTGTACTTCCGAGAGATTCCCACTATAACCAAACTGATTAAAAATGTTCAAGCCTATAAGCAAGAGACTTCCTTTGCTTATACACATAAGTATAAGAATTCCTTGCTCAAACATACAAGTTTGAGAATTCCTTACTCAAGCACACAAGCTCAAGATCCCATTGCTCTAGCACATAAGCTAAAGAATTATTTTGCTCAAACATACAAGTCTGAGACTTCCTTGCTCAAACACAGAAGCTCAAGACTTCAAATGCTCAAGCACTAAAGCAAGATACTTCTACTTCTAAACAAACTGTTAAGAGATTTGGGTAACAAATACACTTGATATACAATCAAAGGTGTAGATAGAATATAACTTAGAAAAACTCTAAGACTTAAGAACATCTAAAATATACAAATGTTAAGATATTCTAAGTCTAACAAATATGACAAAGTAACTTATCTTTGAATGTCAATGTACAAAGTCTGTAGCAGAGTTGTATTAGCTTCTTAGTAGTCTTCTTTTTCAGGTCTGCAACTCCTTTTATAGTCAGGGAGAAAAGAGACGTTGAAGGCTTTCACCAAATAAGTCGGGCTAGCTTTGTACATGATTAAACACATCAATAGAGCACCTTTCTGCAAGAGGAAGTATTAGTTGAAGCTCAAACAACAAGAAAAATATTTTACATTAAGTCTTCACGTGACCAAAAGGTTCTGAGTCTGTCTGAGTTTCCTCGATTGAGGAGCTTCTACTTTAGAGATTGATGTTTTTCAGACTTCACTCCCTAGAGGCTGATCACACCAGAGTCTACTTCTTGCCTTCTGAAGCTAGAGTCTGGGTCGCCAGATGCTGCCTTTTTTTAGAGTTGACTTCTTTAGAGTCTGGATCTTTATCAGAGGAAAAGTCTTCATAAGTAGACTTCAGAGCCAAAGTTTGATCTTCAAATGAAGATTTCTCAAGCATCTCTTCATCTGTTCTTAATGATTATATTTCTACAAACTTGAAAGGATGTTAGAAAAGCCCAATTATTCTTTGAATACTTTGTTAGCATCAAAACCCAATGAATATGATATTAACCAATTTTGTCCCAACAAAATAATTGTGAATATCTGCAAGATGGTGTTTTTATTATTAATGTTATTAAACTATTAATGCTTATTTGTTATACTCTTCACTCATTACTAATAAAAAATTATTCCCTCAATTCTTTATTATTATAAATAAATTTTAACTTTATAAATTTATTATAGAGTTGATGTATGTAGTCTACATATAATTCAAATACATTATTTATTCAATAAAATTAAATGGTAAAAATTTATTTATAATAAAGAAGGGAGGGAGGGAATACATGTTTTTGTTCTAAATTTGAGTTAAATACATGTACATTTTTGTTTATAAAAATATTAATAAAAATTCTTAGTAATTTGTTTGCTTAAATATGTAAATCGTTCATGTAAGTTAGCGAGTTTTTAATTTTCGTCCCAAACCTTTTTTTTTCCTTAAAATAATCTTTGAATGTTAAAATTCATTTGGTATTTATCTCTAACGATAAAATTAACATGAAAATCCTTTTTTACCTGCGAGCTTTTCTAGAGATTTTAACGTTAGGGACGAATATCAAAAAGATTTTAACATTAAGAAATTATTTATAAAAAAAAACGATACAAGAACGAAAACTAAAGTCTCGCTAACTTACCGGGACGATTTACCTATTTAAATCTAATTTGTTTGACTTTGCGTTAAAATTGAAAATTCTTGTGTTTCAATGTCAGATTTATCATAGTTTTAAAAATCTTATATTCAAGTTTATTTCTAAGATACAAATACATTTAATTCACATTTGAGCAAACATTCATTAAAATTATGCCAAAATTTTAATTAAATAGTCGTGGTTACATTACCCGTTTATATTTCAGGTACGAGTAGTAACTTTATGCTTATATAATATCCTCTTAACAAGTTTAGAAAATCTTTCACACGCAAATCCTTATTAGTTTGTTTGATTATGGATTAAATTTGAGATTTATGTATCTCAATATTGTGTTTTCTCAATTTTACAAAGTTTGATATTCAAGTTTTTCTCTTTACAAGGATGCGTGCAATCAATATCATCAAAACAGATACTCATTAAGAATAACTTTCGCGTCAATAATGTTCAATTCACACTAGAACAAACACACACTAAGAAATAACTTTCGCGCCCATTAGATTGCATTAATAATTTCTAATTTATACCTGATTAACAATTAATAATTTTTTGATTTTACATCAAAATTGAGATTTCTTGTATTCCAATAATGTATTTATCATAATTATGCAAAACTTGATATTCAAGCTTACTTTTAAATATACAAATTTATATAACTCACATTTGAGTTAACATTCACTAAAAAAGAAATTCCGCGCTAGAACTTTAGTTAAATAGTTACGACTACATTAATAATTTGTGTTTTAGATACAAGTAATAATTTTATACTTATTTAAAAGTACTATCCTTTTAAAAATTTTAGAGAATCTTTCATCAGCATTTTTTAATAACTTCGTTAGTTTTACGTTTAAATTGAGATTTCTCAAATCCCAAAACCGGGTTATTGCAATTTTACAAAACTTGATATTCAAATTTCTATTTTCACATGATGTGTTCAATCCACGTCAAAATAAACACGCAACTAACTTTCGCGCCAAACTTCTCTTCTCATGGCATTCAATACACACCAAAAGAAACATGCGCTAAGAAATAACTTTTATGCCAAATTTTCATGCTAAGAAATAACTTTTGCGCCAAACTTCTCTTCACAGACAAATTCGTCCAATTCACACTAGAACAAACGCGTTACCTAAAGACTTTCGCGCCAATTATCACTACATTAATAATATGAAATTTAGACAATGATTAATAATTAAAATGAAGTACAACTAATAATCTTATGAGTTTCCCATCATTACTTTTTAAAACAAAAGTACTCTCTACCAAATAGAGGATATCTTAATTACAAAGAGTTATGGTAGTAAAGAGAAACACAAATAGATTGCTATTTATTACTAGCAGACATCTCACAGATTTGCTTGATACTAATAGTACAACTTGGCAAATAGCTAGACTCTTATAAATAAGGCTGCAAACATGAACTCTTTCCTCCACCTAAATTAACATTAATTATATAATAAAATGTCTATAACTCTTTGACACTATAAATTTTAATAACAAAAGAAACCAATAACCTATCTAGTATAAATAAATTAGTAAAAAGGACCCAAAAAAAATATAAATAGAAAAACAATAACTGTCTTTATATCAGAGCTTTCTAGGCTCCTTTAGCCTTTTAAAAACAAAAAACACTCTCTTTCTCTCTCTTCATCTTGAACCCCAACCCCCATAATTATTTCTCTCTCTTCCTAGTACAGATAAAATAATAATATAATATTATATTATTATTATTATAATCGTCAATCAATTATCAATGATATATAAATATAAAAATTATTATTATGATGATATACATAGTTCCGTGAAGTTTATATTCAGAGTTGTGTGAGATCTACTTCGCCGAAGAAATTCTAGTAGAGAGATTACAGAACCCTAATTCTACGGTAATTGCAAAAAATAATTTAAAAATTCTTCTACTGTTATGTCATCATCATCTTTGAAATTCGTGCAAATGTTCTTCACCACCTGCATCAGATCCACGCTATCGTTTTTCATTGATTGTGTTTTTGTTATTACTTCAGTTTTTTCACTGCAGGGTTAAGGGTTTTACTCTGCTTCTTCTTGTTATGCAACTACGTCTTTTTCTCTCTTTCGTTTACTTTCTGTTTCGTAGGTGAATCATCTTTCGCCACTTGTCTTGTCTTACGTGGATTGGATTGGATTTGATTTGATTTAATTTAATTATTCTTTCGTTTCGATTTTTTTTTTACTGTAAATTTTTTTGCTCTGATTTTCGTGGTTGATAAGGTCGGTTTGTTATTATTTTCATATTGATTTGTTGTTTCCTTTATGCTAACACTTGCTTCGGTTAAACTCAATACGTGTGAGTTTTTTTCTTGTTTGATTTTTTTTTTTTAATTTGTGAGCATTAATTGTTGTAATCTAAATTGGGATAAGGGTAACTGTTAGTTCTTAAATGCTGAAATTATTCCTCTGTTTTCTTCTGTTTATGTTTTGATACTGATGTTTGTTTGTTACATTGATCAATTTTTTTGATTGTTGCAGGATTTGAAAAGTGGTTGGTTTTTTTTAGGGGATTCTTTCTTGGATTACGATTGAGGATCGCGCGATATCGATTGGATTGATTTTCTGTTATGTTGGTGTGATGATTGAAATTGGTTTTTGTGATGGGATATAGGTTGACTTGATTGAAGATATCAGATTTGTATCCTATGATCACTGTTGTTAGTTGATATTATTATAGGCTGGTTGGTTGGATGCTGGTGTAGGGATATGCTTTTTGTAAAATTGTTTGCAAATTGCAAGTCCTTTTCAATTTTATAAGTTGACTTATTATAGTTTAAGTCCCTTTTGATTTTATCAAAGATTGGCATGTAATATTTAGTCTTTTGATAGAAATATAGTTGAGATACAATTGTACAATCATCTATTGGTCATTGAAAGGTTTAGCTACTTCAAAGTATTTGTTGGAGTATCATATTTTTCCGGGATTATCTTCTGGACCGTATCAAAGAGGAAAATGGAAGCAGAGAGGTTTAGTAGTGAGCAGCTGAAGAGTAAAATGGAGGCAGAGACGTTGCGTTCTAATCACGCTCCTGGCTTTCTTAGCCGAGCTCTTCCGGCTGTTGTACCCGTGCTTTTGATTTCAATAGGATATGTTGACCCTGGAAAATGGGTGGCGAGCATTGAAGGTGGTGCAAGGTTTGGTTTTGATCTGGTGGCTTTCACGCTTATTTTCAATTTTGCAGCTATCTTCTGTCAGTACTTATCTGCCCGGGTTGCTGTAATCACTGGAAGAGATCTTGCTCAGGTATATCAACTTTAGGCTTTATACAATTTGATACACCACCCATGTAGTAAAAGTTTTATATTTGAAGGCTCTTGAACTCTGAATTGATTTAAACCCCTGTTTGTTTGATTTTTAAACAATTTTTTAGTTTTGTATTCTACTAATTAATGTAGCACCTTGCCATTCAGTTCCTGTCAAAAAATAGTTGACATTAGGAAATTGAAACCCAATAAATTAATTGTTGTTCGTTTCAATCTTCTGTCAGTGCAGCTTGTTGATCAACTTGAGTTTTGACAGACCAAATTTTGAAGTTTATATGGAACTGGAAATTGTATTTAACATTGATTGATATTTTTAAAAAGAATATATTCTTCTATCTTAAAAGTGTAATTAAATAAAACAAACTAGAATGTGTTACGGTTGTGAAACTGGCTGAGAGAAAAACTTGGAGATGGATAGTATTTTTCTTACCCTGTTGACACTAGTCCAATTGTGGTGGTTGTGAATTGTGGTGGTTGAGAATTGTGGTGGTTGAATGGTCTTCTCTTCAATCTGCTTATTGAATTGGTTATTCAGTCTGTAGTGGATTTCTGTATTTCTGCTTCAAAGTCATGCAGAAAATATGATGTTTACATGAGCAAGCTTAAATTAAACTTTGATAAATTCACTTGATTTGTATGCTTTGTCTATAGACTAATTTGTCATTTATTAACAGATTTGCAGTGATGAGTATGATACATGGACATGCCTTTTCCTTGGAATTCAAACGGAACTTTCAGTGATTATGCTAGATCTTAACATGGTAATTCTCTTACTATTGATTAACTTTAAATATCCAGTGAATTTGATTTACACACAGTCATGTTCTATTTGTCAGTTTTTTTTGACTTGAAACTATGGTTTAAACTGTTTTGCAAGATCTTGGGCATGGCACAAGGATTAAATCTTATTTTTGGGTGGGACTTGTTCACCTGTGTCTTTTTAACTGCCACTGGTGCTGTTTTTCATATACTTCTTTCTGTCCTCCTTGTAAGTATTATTCTTCACTTGTTCACTATCCCTCGTTGATCAACACTGGACTTATTATATGGTCTTTTCTTAGGACATTGAGAAGGCAAAATTCCTAGGACAGTTTGTGGCAGGCTTTGTATTGCTATCGTTTATACTTGGACTACTCATCAATCAATCAGAAGTTCCACTTTCTGTGAATGGAATACTAATAAAGTTGAGTGGGGAGAGTGCATTTATGCTTATGAGTCTTCTTGGAGCAACTCTTGTGCCTCACAACTTTTACCTTCATTCCTCTATTGTACAGGTATTATTTCCTCTCATTCTTAATTTCCGTTTGCATTTTTGCAAATGTAGTGAAATGTCTGTCTCTATGGCATGCTGCCAAAGAAATATCTTTTATTTGCTTGTATGTGTATTTGAAACGTCCGGTAGTTTCTCTTTGATACTATGGTTGTGTGGGCATATGCTTTATCTAAACTATGTTATTTGTATGGGAGCCTGTCCAGTTATAAAGGGTCTTCAGTAATTATTTAATAGGGCTTTTAGATTCTTGCCTATCAATTCTCTTACTGTAAGGATGTTCATCAGAAGTGTCTTATGAGACGGATATGGCAGATATTTGGCTTTCCGCCATTCACCATTGATAGCAATGATGTGGTTTTTTTTTATAAGATATAGTCTATGATCTGATATTTCTTTCACACTTTTCCAGCTATGCACCTAGAGGGAAAGAATGCACATCGTGTTCTGTCATATTTGGTTGTAGTAGTTTGTTTTGTCGATCTGATATTTCACATTCTTTTTGCAGTGGCATCAGGGACCGAAAAACATTTCTAAGGATGCATTGTGTCATAACCATTTTTTGGCCATCTTATGTATCTTCAGTGGCCTTTATTTGGTAAATAATATGCTGATGACCACATCAGTAAACGAGTTCTACAGTACAGGTCCTGTTTTGCTTACTTTTCAAGATGCACTGTCATCAATGGAACAGGTCTCTTTTACTACATAATTGGTTGACATGAAAAACTGTTCTCATCCTTCCTGTCATACACATTCTGAACTACTATAGTTTTGTTATTCTTATTGCAGGTGTTGCGCAGCCCAATAGCTCTGCTTGGTTTTGTTTTCATTTTGTTTCTTGCAAATCAGACTACAGCATTAACTTGGAGTTTAGGGGGAGAAGTAGTAGCGAATGGTTTCTTAAAACTAGATATTCCAGGTTGGCTTCATTATGCGACAATTAGAGTGATTGCTGTGCTGCCTGCTCTTTATTGTGTCTGGAGTTCAGGAGCTGAAGGGATGTATCAACTACTTATATTCACTCAGGTTTTAGTAGCCCTGCAACTTCCATCTTCTGTGATTCCCCTTTTTCGAGTTGCTATGTCTAGATCAATAATGGGTGCCCACAAAATTTCCCAGTCTCTGGAACTTTTGGCATTGACCATATTCATTGGGATGCTTGGCTTGAATATCGTCTTTTTGGTAGAAATGATATTTGGCAATAGTGATTGGGCGGCTGATTTGAGGTGGAATGTTGGGAATGGCGTGTCTGTCTCATATGCAATTCTTCTCATTGCTGGTTTTATGTCATTATGTTTGATGCTTTGGTTAGCTGCCACACCTTTAAGATCTGCCAATATTCATCAATTAAATGCTAAGGAGTTGAACCGGGATGTGCCAGAGGCTGTACTGACTCCAATGGTTGATGGTGAAGAATCATATATAACTGAAACAGCGCGTCATGAAGAAGCATCTGTTGAAGTCGACGAACCAAAACCAGCTTTAGCTAGCACATTTGAGTACCCAGAAGTGTCACATGAAAGTTTTTGTCCCATTCTTCCCAAAACCATAATGGAACCTGATCCCCAGGTGAATGCTGTAAAGGGGGATAATTCTGTTGCACCATCAGTTTCCACATCAGAGACAGGGGAAGCATCTACTGTAGTTAATGATAGTTCTGATTCTAGACTTGCAGATACAAAAACTATAATGGAAAGAGATGCCCCAATTGAGAAAACTGTGGAAATTGAAAACGATTCAAACGCTGAAAGGGATGATGATGATGGAGAGTTATGGGAAACTGAAGAATCGTCCAGGGTGGTCTTGCCAAATGCCCCATCTTCAACATCAGAAGGCCCTCCATCATTCAGGAGTATTAGTGGGAAAAGTGACGACGGTGGGAGTAGCTTTGGAAGTCTATCGAGAATAGAAGGCTTAGGACGTGCGGCAAGACGTCAGCTAACGGCCATTCTTGATGAATTCTGGGGACAGCTTTATGATTTCCATGGGAATCCTTCCCAGACAGCAAAGACCAAGAAATTTGATGTTTTGCTGGGGATGGAAGTAGATTCAAAACCCACCCCTGCCTTGCAGAAAAAGGATGCATGTGGAAAGGACTTTTCTGAATACTTAGTATCTGCAGGCAGTAGAACTTCCGACACTTCAATTAACGCTGGTCCGTATGACTATTCCGCGCAGCCTAGGATGCAAAGTAATTCAGAGTCTTCATACGGTCTTCAAAGGAGTTCTTCCTCAGTGCGGGCAAATCCCATCCAGTTACTGGATGCATATGCACAAAACTCTGCTCGCAATTTCCTTGAATCTGGTGAGAGGCGCTGTTCCAGTGTGCGCAGTCTTCATTCATCCGAGGCTTGGGATTACCAGCCAGCTACAATACATGGTTATCAGACTGCATCCTATCTTAGCCGGGGTGTGAAAGATAGAAGTTCTGAAAACATAAATGGTTCAATGCAATTGTCATCACTGAAGTCACCTTCCACGGGTAATTCAAACTACAGAGATTCCCTTGCATTTGCTTTGGGAAAAAAGTTGCATAATGGTTCAGGTGTAAGTCATCCCCCTGGTTTTGAAAATGTAGCTGTCTCTAGAAATCGCCAACTACTATCTGAGAGGTCCAATTATGATTCTTGCACCTCTGGACCTGCAGCTAATACAGTCAATTCAATTAACACTAAGAAGTACCACAGCTTGCCTGACATTTCAGGATACTCCATCCCTCACAGAGCTGGCTACGTGGCTGATAAGAATGCACCATGGGATGGTTCTGTTGGATATGGTTCTTTTACTGGTAGGATGGGGTACGAACCCTCTTTATATTCAAATGCTGGACTAAGAGCAGGAGCTCATTTGGCCTTTGATGAAGTCTCTCCATCTAAAGTGTACAGAGAAGCACTCTCTTCACAGTTGAGTTCTGGTCTTGACACTGGATCTCTCTGGTCTAGACAGCCTTTTGAGCAGTTTGGTGTTGCTGATAAAATTCATAATGTTGCAATGGAAGGTGCAGGAAGAAGGCCAAATGCAATTGTTCAAGAAACTACATTTGAAGATATAGAAGGGAAACTTCTTCAATCTTTCAGACTTTGCATTATGAAGATCTTAAAACTGGATGGGTCTGATTGGTTGTTTAAACAGAATGATGGAATTGATGAAGATCTAATTGATCGTGTAGCAGCAAGGGAGAAGTTTGTTTATGAGATTGAAGCTAGGGAGACAAATCAGGCTGTTCATATGGGCGATACTCGTTACTTCCCTTCTGATAGGAAATCTGTTTCTTCGATGAAAAGCGAGGCAAGTGCCTCTAGCCTTTTAGTTTCCTCAGTTCCTAACTGTGGGGAGGGATGTGTATGGAGATTAGATTTAGTAATGAGCTTTGGAGTCTGGTGTATCCACCGTGTTCTTGACCTCTCACTTTTGGAAAGCCGACCAGAGCTTTGGGGGAAATACACCTATGTGCTCAATCGTCTCCAGGTAAAGTGGTATTCTATTGTTCAAATCCTAAATAAATGAGTTTCATTTGTTGTTGATCGATCACTTGGAAAAATTGGTCCAACATGTTATCTATTCATCATTCGTTTTATCGTTCCTTGCATTCTCTTTCAACAAGCTGGTATGTCTTTTCTGTGTTTTATTTTATCTTGCTTTAATGAGCAGGGCATCATTGATCCAGCCTTTGAGAAGCCCCGTACCCCTCCGGCCCCATGCTTTTGCCTTCAAGTTCCCAGTACACACCTGCAAAAGTCAAGTCCCCCTCTTTCTAACGGGATGTTACCCCCAACTGTGAAAGCAGGCCGGGGCAAATGCACTATTCCATCAACGTTTATTGAGCTGATTAAAGACGTGGATATCGCTATCTCTAGCAGAAAAGGACGTACAGGTACTGCAGCAGGTGACGTGGCATTCCCCAAGGGGAAGGAGAATTTGGCATCTGTTCTCAAACGGTTAAAGCGAAGGTTATCATCCAGCAAGCTTTATGCCAATCAGAACAAGATCCCCTCTTAAGGAGCACACACTCAATAACATTTTGCATTAACAAAATCAGGTTTCTTTGGGGATGTTTTATAATTTATACTGTGAAGCAGCTCATACCTAGATCAAGGAGTGCTCTGCCTCCATGTATCAAATTTCTTGCAGCAGATTTTATCTTTGTATGTTACATACATATAAGAAAAGAATTATATGCAACTGTGGCAAAATCGGTTAAAAATGGTAGATGGAAAATAGTTCCAGGTTGGTTTTTGTTTTGTTTGGATTTCGTTGCTTATCTAGCTAGTGGATAGGAAGGCAGGGATACAATTAAGTTGACCCGATTGTTTCCTGAATTAACTTTTGTACAAACACTGAAATTTTGTTGTTTTGAAGTTTTCACAATGAAGTCTGAAATAATTGTAATACAAGTCCAAAATTGGTTGAATTGTTTCCAAAATATCTTATTATTGGATCACATACATAAATTTCTATTTTATCTTTAGTTTTGTTGTGTTTTAGTAGTCTACCTTATGATATTCAGTGGTGTACAAGAGTTTTCTTCCATAATATATATTCAATATTATACTGGTCTGGGTCGATTTGCACTACGGTCTCTTAAATAATGTTCTAGGGCTTGGTTTGTGCAATGTTCTCTTAAATAATGCCGTCAATGCGGTTGCTAAGATGTATAGTGCAATTTCAATTTGAATTTTAATTGGGCGAATATTTGAAATATACTGTTAGAAAAAATTTAATGTTAAGGATTTTCAAAAAACTTGTGTTTTTTTTGTAGAGAGAAGGCAGAAGGCAGACCTTCTCTCTCTAAAAACTTTATCGCGTTCTCTCTTCCTCTTATTTTTAGGATTTGTGATAGTTTTTTATTTCTAGTTTTTTTTGTCCTCTCATTTTTGTTTGGTTTCTCTTTTTATTTTTCTTCTTCTGTTTTTTCTTTTTTTTCCTGTATCAGTGTTTATTCGGTCGTTGTGTTGTGTGCTCCTCTGTTTCTTTTTATCTATGGAGAAATGGATATCACTACCCCTCTCCAAGAAACCCCTCTCCAAGAAAGAAGATGAAGTTTGTGAGTACTGAGTTTTTTCAAAGAACTCTAGCGGACAAACTATGGACAGATAATAGCTTTAATACGAGGGCGCTTAAGAGCACTATGCTTAACGCGTGTAAGTTGAATAACCTTGTGGAGATACATGATTTAAGCAAGAATCTGTTCCTTTTCAAAATTTCAACAAAAAGAGATACGGAAAATGTCATTAAAAGTGGTCCCTATAGTTTTGATAGAGCTGCGGATGCTAAAACGCATATTTGGAGAAGAATAACCTTCAGATCTCAACATGCATTTTGACAATTTTTGAATTAGGATCTATGAACTTCTTCTCATTCTCAGATCGATGGCAATGAAGATGGGAAACATCATTGGGAGATTTAAAGAAATGGATCTGAAAAAAGCGCACATGAATGGGCGATTCCTTGGAGAAGAATCTACGAGTCCACTTCAAATACGAGAGACTACCTACTTTTTGCTTCGTTTGTGAAAGACTAGGTCACCAATTGAAAGACTGTGAAACAGTTGAGGACTTGAAAGAAGAGGGTTTTGAAGAATTAGAGGAACATGATCTCTCGTTTGATCAATGGTTGAGAGCTTCCCCGTTGCCTAAAGTTGGAGAGGAAGTTCAGAAGAAAGATTTAAGTTTAATCACTTGCAGTAAATAAATTTTTAATATCTATTCAAGCTATAGCCACTGTGAGTTCAATGGAAAAGAAAAAGTAGATGATCAAGAGGTTTAACAAAAGGATACTATGGTAGTTGTTATAGAGAACATCCAACTTAATGATCCAAGAAATGTTGGTAAAGGAGGAGATGTTGAGAAGGTGGCTGAATCACTTGGGGCAATAGTTATCTCGACTCAGAAGAAAATTGTCGAGTCTCATCTGAAGCTCCGATGATTCAGAAGAGGAAGTGGGTTAGGAAAAAAGGAGTGAAAAAGAGTGGGGGGATTCTAGCCAATCAACAGGTTTTGGAGAATTCAAAGAGACAACTTGTAGAGGTTATGGTACTGAAGGTCCCATTGAAGACTGTGTGTGTGTGTGGGAAGAGCAAACATGATGTATGTGGTGTGAGTGTGAGACTATCATTGAATCAACCAGAGGTGGTGTTGGATGACCAACACCGCCTATCCCAATGAAAACCTTAAGTTGGAACTGCAGGGGCTCTAGCCCCTATGCAGTTTGCATTGAGAATCTCACAATGGTTTTCCTCATGGGGACCAAATCGAAAGCTAAGGAACTGTTGAGAATTAAGAAAATTGAATTTTAAATATGACATGAATTTGGATTGTAGAGGTTCTGGTAGAGATAGGGAGGCGAAAAGGGGTGTTTGTTTTGGAATAAGATATCTGATATCTAAATCGTATCACATTTTCCGAATCACATTGGAGGAATTGTTCAAATGGATGATAAAGATCGACCATATTACTTTACTGGAGTTTATGGCTTCCCTGAGGATCATAGTAAGAGTAAAACGTGGCTTTTGATTCACGATCTATCTACAACTTTGAAGATAAGCTTTTGCTCTTTGGTGATTTTAATGATATTGTGACAAGTATGGGGGAAATAGTAAATCAACTACTAAATTGGCTTGGAGCAGGAAAACTTTAGATTCTTGTGGCCTTCAAGAGTTGGACTTTGAGGGGTACCCCTACACCTGGTCGAACGGGAGGCTAGGTGATGAGAATATTCAATGCCGTTTAGATACAGGTTTCACTTCTTTCACGTTTATGAATTATTTTCACTGACAAGAGTGTTTCACCTGGTAAGATATGGTTCTGGTCATGCTGCTATCAGGATTATGATTCAGAAGGAGGGTGTGAGAGAAGAAAGCTTATTTATTCACAGATTTAAGGAAGTTTGGTCCAAGGATACGAGATGAGAGAATTTTGTTAAGGAATTATAGAACGAAGCAACCCCCAATTTTCATCGAAGATTGAAGTTTATTCAAAAAGTCTTCAACATACCTTTAAAGACCTCGAAGCAGGGGAGGTGGCTAAGGAAGTGAAAAGAGTCGAAGAACTCCTAAAGAATGGCAAAAGATGGTCCAGTGATCTAGAAGAAATGAAACAACATAAAGCCTTGAAGAAATAAAGGGATAAACATCTGAGAAATGAGGAGACTATGTGAAGACAAAGAAGTAGAGCAGTTTGTCTTAAAGATGGAGACAAAAACACCAAATTCTTTCACAACAAAGCATATCAAAGAAGGAAGACCAATATGATCAAGAGACTCAAAGAGTAGAGGTGGCAATTGAATCTATTATAAAAAAATCCATCCAATCCATCTATCAAAAAATTCATCCAATCCATCCACCACATAAAAAATAAGTGTATGAATTAGATTAAATACATCTATTTATATGCATGGATGGATTCGATCCATCCAACATATATTAAGGATCCAATGAATTATTTTTATTTTCGTTAGATTTATTTTTTTTAAAAATAATTAAAAATATTTTTTAAAAGAAAAGAATTAATTTTTTTCAATAAAAAAATCGGAATTTTTCCAAAAAAAAAATACAATTTTTTTCTGAAAAAAAAACATGATTTTTTTTTCGAAAAAAATATCTGTTTTTTTTTTCAAAAAAAAAAACAGATTTGTTTTTCGAAAAAAAATCGATTTTTTCCCAAAAAAAAACTATTTTTTTTCGAAACAAAAAACTAATTTTTCTTTTATACAAAAACAATTTTTTTCCTGAAAAAAAATCGATATTTTTCAAAAATTAAAATATCAAATTTTTTTCTTGAAAATACAAAAAATTCAATTTTTTTAATAAATATATTATTTTTTTTTGAATACAAAAAATTAATTTTTCGAAAATAAAATAAAAAAGTATATTTATTTTTTCGAAATAAAAAAAATTTGGATGGATGGATATCCATCTATTAAAAATATGTACATGGATGGATTGGATGAATTTTATTCTTAATGGATGGATTGAATTGGATAATTTTTTAAAAAAAATAGTGGATTGTTAATGGATTAATGGATTGTTTTAATCCATCCATTAACAATCCAATCCATATCCATTCAATCCATCCATTTTGCCACCCCTATCAAATAGTCAGATGGCAGGTGGGTTAGAGGGCATGGAAATTGTGAGAAGATTCAGCATAACTATTTCACAAGTATTTTTAAATCTTTGAACCATTATGATATTCAATAAGTTTGTAGCAACATTAGGGGAAGACTCAATGATGGTCACAAGATGATCTGTATCAGACCCTTTTCAGCGGAGGGAGTTAAAGATGGTATTTTTCAAATGCACCCCACAAAATCCCCAGACCCATATGGTGTGCCATCCATTCTCTTTCATAAGTACTGGGCTATTGTTAGACAAGACGTTACGAAGCTGGCATTGGACATCCTTAAGAACCATCATAACCCTGATGGTATCAATTCCACTTTTATTACCCTGAACCCTAAACTCAAGAACCCTAGCACCCCTAAGTATTTCCGACCCATCAGTTTTTGCAACGTGACCATGAAGGCTGTCATTAAGTCCATTGCCAATCGTTTGAAGATGATCCTTCCTGGAATTATTAATGAGGAGTAAAATCCCTTTATAAAAGGCAGACTTATCACTGACAACGCCCTAATTGCTATGGAATATTTTCACTGGATGCAAAATAAGAAGAAAGGTATAATGACGCTAAAACTTGATATGTCCAAGGCCTACGTCTGACTGGAATGGGATTTTGTCTTAGGTGCCCTGAAAGTTTTGGAATTCCCAGACCCCATGATACAATTGATCAAATTATGTATTTCTTTTGTTTCTTATCAGATCCTGGTTAGCGGTCAACCTAGTAGGCGTATTTTCCCAAAAAAATGGTCTCCGCCAAGGGGACCCCCTCTCACCGTATTTGTTTATAATTTATGCTGACGTTCTTTCAGGTATTGCTCAAAAAGGCAGGTTTATCAAAAGGCATCCATGGTGTGCATGTTGCGAGGAAGACTCCCATTATATCTCACCTCTTTTTTTTTCTTTTCTTTTTTTTGCGGACAATACCTTTTTATTTGGTAGAGCAAATGCGGAATAAGTTGTTCGCATCACACACATTCTTTCAGAATACCAAAGGGTGTTTGGGCAATTAGTCAACCTTGATAAATCTGAAGTGTCTTTCAGTGGCAATGTGGGGGAGGATTCTAAGGATGTGATTCGAACCAGACTTGGATTCAGAGGAGTTGTTATTCATTCTGGATACTTTGGCCTTCCGGTGGTGTTTGGTAGATAAAAGAAAGAAGATTTTAAACTTGTCATTGATCGTGTTTGGAAGAAGGTTAAAGAGCAGAATGAGGGTTTTCTATCTCGAGTTGGGAAAGAGGTGCTTATAAAAGCTATAGCTCAGGCGATTCCCACATATATTATGAGTTATTACAAGATTCCAAATCAGTGCTGCAGAGATATTGAAGCCTTGTTGGCTAAGTTTTGGTGGGGAGCTAAAGAGGGAGAAAAGAAATTCCATTAGATGAGTTGGGAAAGGTTGTATCAAAGAAAGGGAGAAGGAGGAATGGGTTTCAGGGGCATCCAATATTTTAATTTAAGTCTTCTTAGAAAATAATATCGAAGACTGCTGCAAGCTGATGGTTCTTTATTTGAGAGATTTTTTAAAGGTAGATACTACCCAAGATCCAAAATCAGCGAGGCTCCTACTAGTTTCAAGCCCAACTATGCATGGCGAAGCATCATAGTGCCAAGGAGGTGGTTTTGAGGGGCGCCATATGGAGAATAGACAATGGTGATTAAGTGAAAATCTGACAGGACAATTGGATACCTACCCTTCTAGGTTTTAAACCTCTGAGTCCTGCTCGCATCTCGGAGGTGGATAACAAAGTTTGTAATCTGATTGATACTGATCCGAGGATGTGGAATATGCAGGTCTTGAGGTCTAACTTTGATGACCATGATGATGCTCATATTAGCAACGTCCTCTCTCTAATAGAATTTATTGTGATAAACTTGTGTGGCATTTTGAGAAAGAATGTGAATACTCTATAAAGACTGCATATCACTTGCTATAAGATCTGAATCATGTCAAGAGACCTGGACCGTCTGCTAGGATAAATAAAAATCAGTGGAAGAATCTTTGGAAGGTTCCAGTCAATGCTAGCATTAAGAATTTCATATGGAGACTTGCCAAAGACATCCTGCCTAATAGGGTCAACCTGAGCAAGAAAGGTATCTCTTTAGATGTTTCTTGTCCCTTTTGCCATATGTACCCTGAGAATTCTCTCCACCTCTTTATACAATGTGATTTTTCAAAAAGAGTCATTTTTTCCTTCCCCAAGAGGCTTCGAATACCTTCTGGTTGTGACATTTTGGATTGGATGGAAACACCTATTATGAACAAGGAGTGTTTGGTTGTCCAAGTGCTGATGGTGGCCTTGTGGAAGATATGGAAGATGAGGAATAGCATAATCGTTTTCAAAGATGCAACACCTGACCCTTGCTTTGTGGCACAAAAAATATGGGATGCTATTGAGGAAACTAATGATGTATTGGGAAAGGTTCAAATATGGCTCTGTTTGTTGGGAACTGCCAACAACTAGGGAATTCTTGGATTTCGCAATCAGACACGGGCTATTTCCCTGATGGTACGGTGGTTCTTGGTGGTGTCATCAAGGATCCACGAAGAATATTTTTCTGGATGCTACAAAGCGTCTATTCCACCATGCAGAGAGTAGTACTGCATAGATCTTGGCTATCCGTTGGAGTCTTCAGCTGGCTAAGAATTTGAAGCTTGACAAATTCATTCTCCAATCTGATACTTTAGTTCTGGTGGATTGTATTAATGGTTCTCACTTAATGGTTGCCTTAGATCCTATTGTCTATGATTGTAAAATAATTTTAGGCAACTTTAGTGATGCCTTGTTGATGCAAATCAACCGTGACAAGAACGAGGATGCTCATCATATGGTGGGAATAGGCAAATCCCTAGGCTCTAGGACTTGGATTCGTTGTTTGATAAAAAAAATATTAAGGATTTTTTATTACATAAGTAAAATGAGTTTTTGGGTATTTAAATTGTGTTTTGATAAAAATATTTGAAGAAACGCGAGAAAAATTGTTCGATGTGATTTCAATTGGCAGCTAGACGCATGGTTTTAAGTTCACCACAATTGCAATTTGATT